TTTATATAAAAGAGCTCAAAATGTTTTAGACTCCTATATAATTTTTTTGCCCTAGGACTCTTGATAACATTGGGCCAATGCTGATAATAATATTAGTACTTAAGTGTCTCTAAAAAAATAGCCATGAAGGGTGTTTAAAAGTAAACGGATATTTAGTCAATACATGTTTCGATTTTAGAAAGCGGAATCAGACTGGTTTCACTAATTCCGTATGAAATATAGAAAACTTTCATAAGCCGGATACACGATTTTTGGTATGGACTATGAAGGCCATGGTCAGTCCATGTGAACTCGTTGCTACATCAAGAAGTTTGGAAACATTGTGGATGATTGCTATAACTATTATACCTCTATTTGTGGTATAACCTTTATAGTCTTCTTCAGAACCTCAGCCATTGTTCTCTTGCTAGATATTAACCTAGAAGGTCTTAATTTGTTGCACGGGAAATGATTTGCCCGGGCTTCTTGGAACTCTCTTGGTTTCAACAATTGTTACATCACTGCAAAGGCACAAAGGGTATACGAGAAAATATTACAGGAGAGATACACTCATTGTTCACTGGTCAGAGGTACCACAACTCCAAGCATTGATACCTAGAAGATTGCTGAGATGACAAATGAACTACTTTATTTTGAATTCATTGGCACAACATTTTTATAGGCTCAGGCTCTTGAAGTTGATCTCTTTTAGCACCAAGCTCATTAAATGAGCTAGAGAGTGGATCAGTAACATTTACACTCTCTTTCGATAAAACTTGTGAGTCTATGTGACATATTATCAAAAATTAGTAGATCAAGGGTCTTCAACATGTGGATTATTATTAGAATTTGGTTTTCATAATTTTACAAAGTAAAATTTTTTTTATTCAAGTCCAAAGCAAAATTGGTGGTAAGAAGACATACATTTAATTTAGCATATTTTTCCATTTTGTTTAAATGTAAATAATTTCATTTAAATTTTTTTAGATCTCTTGTAAGAGCTATAAAAGCTCAATTGTTCTCATTGTAAAAACATATAGAAAGTTTTGGAAATTTAAAGAAAAAGTTTTCTCTAAAGCTTAGGTTTTTTTCTTTTGTTTATTTAAGTTAGATGAATTTCTATATTTATATTTAGTAAACATTTGAATTTATGTCTCTTGTCTGTGATTCCTTGAAGCTAAATTTGTGAATTTATCACAAGATTTTTTACACTCTTGAATGGTGTTCTTCGATCCACCACATCATCTCATCCATTGATCCAATCTGAGAGAGTTACATAACATCGGATTTCATCATCTATTCCCTTTGACTCCATTGGTTGGTTTAGCAAAGAGAGTTATACAACCAGTTGCTAGATCTCATTTATTCACCATTATTACAAGACCATACCCCATTTATCAGGATTCTCTCTCTATCTCTCTTTGGAGTTTGAAGTAATGTCTTATATTCTCCACTTTTATCAATAGGTTTTAAATTTTGTGCGAGACCAATGGAGAAAGGCAGATTCTTTTTTGGAGAATCTGTTGGAGGAGCAGTCACTTTATTGATTTACAAAAAAGATCCATCCTTCCGCTCCAATATGAAAAGTAAAACTATAAAAGTGAAAACATGCACATAGTCTTAATTTGGGAGATTATTAAAATGTATATATATATATATATATATAGTTTTCAAAGACCTTTCCAAGCGAGAAGAGGTCTAAATATATATATAGTCTTATACTATTTGGAATATAAATAATATCTCTCTATGGAAATGAAGATAGTTCTAGCAAAAAACCATGATCGACGTTGCTTTCAAAGACCTTGCCAAGCGAGAAGAGGTATTGATGTAAAATATGGAAGTCTTATACTATAACTAATATATAAATTTGGTATAATTGGTTTGGTTGTAAATGAAGGAACAACAAGCTGATTTATCAAAGACAAATCTAAGCTCAAAACTGCACTTGAAATGCTTAGGAAAAGAATTAACTTCAAAGACAGTCTCAATGAGATTGAGCATGTCTAGATTTGTTCAAGTTTCATTGAGATTATAATTTAAAACCAGTCTCAACAAGGATGAGACTAATTTTTACAGCAGCGATAACAATTTGTTTACAAAACGAATACTAGTTGATTAGAAGCTTCTGCCATCAAAACTTAAACCATATATCCTAAACTTTAATTTCTAATAAACTCATAAACCCTAAAACTTAAAAACAATTTGATAAAATATAACAGAAGAAAACAGTAGAAATAAAGCAATAAACAAAAAAGAATAAAACATAAGTATAATATAAACGAAAATCATGCAAATACTTTTTAATCAAAAATTATGGTACCAATTTGATATTAAAACCAATATGAATGTTTACAAGTTACGAACTACACAATATGATAATTATATGAAGTCATAACCATAACATATGTGATTTATACCACAAACCAATTAATATGCAAGAAAATATATAGAAATCGGTTGTCAAACTTGTTTAAAGTATACTTAGGAGTGTTCAATTTGGGTTATCGGTTGGATTTGGTTTTATATTTTTAGGTAAGGAGAAATGATCACAATGCTGAAAACATATTTGCATTAATGGTTCAAATTTATTTAGTTTAAACTCGAACAAATCATAGGGATTTTCTAAATGTTTTGCTTTTGTTTCAACTTAATTTTTGTCTAGACATGCAAATATATGGGATGCAATCTATTCAACACAAAGAATCATTGTTAAGAAGACCATTATACATTCATTAAAAGATTTTCTTGTTTATAATATATTGTATCGTTCATATTACTATGGTGTCTGAATTATTTTTTAATATGTAAAAGAAAATTGATTCAAAGATATTATATATAACATTTCAAACTACAGGGTAATTATACAAAGACTAAAATTATAGTTAAGAAAAAAAATGAGAAATCTCTTTATATTTTCAAAACTATTATTATAAGTTTTAAATAAGTATTTTTTTAACTTACATACTTTTATAAAATTCTAACTATATATATAACCGCAAAAACAAAATAGTATATCAGTCACAATCATAAAAATTATTTATACATAACAATATGCATGTTTGTTATTGTATAGTTGGATGGATAGATGGAAGACATAAATTATCTTGAATCACGAAAGCAAGATCACACAATATTAATAACAATAAAAAGACCTAAGAATTTTAGTTTGAAATGTTAATTTTATTTTATTTCAGTTTGAAATATCACTATCAAATTTTCACTATTAATTATGGAAGAAATATATATATATATATATATATCAATATATAAATAAATTAAAATTAAATTATCCATTAGCTGTTAGAGATAATAAGTTGTATTAACTCATTAAAAATACTCTGTAATAATTAAGAATGTAATCAATAGTTGGTCGGAGGCACCTAAAGAGAATGTAATATATATATAAGTTTTATATTATAATTAATATCTCAGTTTGGTATAAATTGCTTGGTTGTAAATACAGGTAAGGAACAACAAGCTGGTTTATCAAGACAAGCCCATGCTCAAAACGGCACTATAATTGCGTAGGACAAGCACGAACCTGGAAAGCAGTCTTTACGAGGTTAGAGTTCTAACTAGGTTTGTTCAATGAGCTTACAATTATAAAACTAACTGACTAAATACTGTTTTGTATATAATTAAACTAGTCTCGACCAAGTTGATATTAATTTTTACAGCAGCGATAACAATTTGATTACAAAATGAATACTAGTTTGATTAAAAGCTTACACCATCAAAACTAAAAAAACCATATATCCTAAACTTTAAACTCTAACAAACTCATAAACCCTAAAACTTAGAAGCAATTTGACAAAATATAACAGAAAAAAAATCAAAACAAAATATATAAGCAAAACATGGGTAAAACATAAGTATAATATAAACCAAATTATGCTAATAGTTTTTAATCAATTTGTTTTTTGTTCAACTCAAAAATTATAGATACCAATTTGATATTAAAACACATAAATGGTTTACAAGTTAGCAACTACGCCATATGATAATTATATGAAGCCATTAACCATTACATATGTGATTTACACAAACGAGACATGCAAGAAAAATCAGAAATAGTTATCGAACTTGTTTATAGTATAATTAGGAGTGTTCAATCCAGGTTATCGATTGGATTCGGTTTGGATGGTTGTAAAGAATAAATGACCACAATAGCATACCATATTTGTATTAATGGTTTATAGTCACTCAGTTTAAACCCAAACAAATTATAGGAATTTTGTAAATGTTTTGTTTTCAACTTTTTTTGTCTAGACATGCAAATATATGGGATGCAGGATCCATTCAATATAAATTTTTTTTATCAAATCATCGTTAAGAAACCCTTTATACACCCATTATAATATGTTATAATATTTTTACGTATAATTATTATGGTGTATGAAATTTTTAATATGTATATTAGAAAAATGTTTCAAAAATATATAATATTTCAAACCAGTGAGTAATTACGTGAAGATTAAAATTATATATAGTTGAAAAACAATAGAAATCACTTTCTATTTAAAAAACTTTTATTATAAGTTCAATCAAGTATCTTTTAATTTCTATACTCTTATAGAATTCTAGCTATAGAACTGCCAAAAAAATAATATATTGATCACAATCATAAATTTTCATTGTACTTAACAATCTGCATGTTTTTTATTGTATAGTTTTGTTTAATCTTTCACTTGAAGACACAGACTATCATGAATCACGAGAATGAAATTACACAATATTAATAATAATAACAAGAATTAAGGATTCCAGCTTGAAATATTAATTTTATTTGATTTCAAATTGAAATATCATTATATTTCATTAGCATTAATCATGGAAGAAGAATATATATATATATATATATACCAATATATTAAAATGAAACTATCAATATCTTTCACTTGTATAGATAGAAGACACAAACTATCATGAATCACAAGAACAAAATTACACAATATTAATAATAATAATAATAAGAAATAAGGATTCCAGCTTGAAATATTAATTTTATTTGATTTCAATTTGAAATATCATTATATTTCTTTATCATTAATCATGGAAGAATAATATATATATATATATATTAAAATGAAACTATCAATTAGCTAATAGTGATAATAAATTAACTCATAAAATGCTCAGAAGCAACTAAGAATGTAATCAATAGTTGGTTGGAGAGACTTAAAGATAATGAAGTAAGTCTTCTCACTTGGATGGATAGAATCAAAAAAGACATACGCAGATGTATTAGGACACACATATGACTTTGGATTGCACAAAATCGATGCTTCTAAGTATCCACTTCCACAACATCCACTGCTCACTTCTTCAAACCCTATAACATATAAATATATAAATACAAAATATCTTAAAACGATAAATAAAAAACAAGATTTGAACCGTCGTTTGGATAATAAACCTCCAATTCTCTAAAAATGTTATAAATGAGATACAGACTATCAAAAGAAGGCAAATCTCGCTTATAGTTTTGTGTTGTATGCAATGTTAAATCATAATTTATGAAATAACTTTATATTATTTGTTTTTAATAAGACCATTGGTTATATAAGTAATATAACATAAGTTTTGATTTAAAAATAAATTGATTATATAACACCATACAATCAATATGATATTGATATGATTATTTTTTTTATTAGCCTAAAACTGTATGTGAATGATTAATTGTTTTTTATGCTTACCAAATTTTCGATGGTCATGAATGATCTCATAAAGTGGATTATAGACGTCAAGGTAAAAGATCTTGGATCCAAGATGGGCCAAGCTCATTTGCATGAGGTCCAATTCTTTTTGTAAGTAGAAATTATAGTTTGTGGCCACGGTGGAGAAACGGTCAATGCACCGACGGTTGGTCAAAGCATCGCTCGAGAATACAGTTATAACAATTGGTAAACACCCAATTGGTGGCAAACCTGCCACGGTTATTTTCCTTGCTCCTTCATGCCATAAACCCTAACCATTATATAACCATATTAATACAAAAGAAAACAAAATCTTAAGAGATATATTTTAAAACAAATTAAGCTGGTCGATATCCAATAAAAACATAACAAACTAAAGCGGTCGAGCTGAAACTGAATTACTGAAACTAGACTCATTTTGAAAGTGAGCAACGTACATACTAAACAAACTGATTTCAAGACAATGTTTAGCCAAAAGCTACTTTTTGAAAATGAGTAGGTTGTCCAACTAACAAAAATTTAGAATACCATATTTTATTATGCACCATATAAAAGTATTTTTTTTAAAAAAAAGTAATGCCAAAATCTAAATTCAAAATCGTCAAAATATAATTTTAACTGTTTCAAAAAAATATTATAAAAATTACAAAGAGATATCAATTTTTTAGAATCCTTACTAAACTTTTATGAACCTTTTAAAAATCTAATGTTTGTCATTTTTGAAACTTTATCAAAAATGTGATATTTTGTAACTAAAACTGGGTTTGTCGTATTTTATAAGATTTATATAGAAAATTTTGGTTTCTAATCATTAAAACTAGATTCATTTTCTAAGTGAGCAATATACTAAACAAACTGATTTCAAGACAACGTTTAGCCAAAAACTACTTATTGAAAATGAGTGAATTGTCTAACTAGCAAAATTTTAGAATACCATATTTTATTATGTATAATATAAACGTATTTTTTAGTATATCATATTTTTTTTTTTAAAGTAAAGCTAAAATGTAAATATTTTTAAATAGTCAAAAAAATTAAGTTTAACTGTTTTGAAAAAAATATTATAAAATTTACGAATAGATACCAATTATTTTATAATCTTTACAAAACCTTTATAAACCTCTCAAAAATCTAATGTTTGTCATTTTTCAAAATTTAACAAAAATGTGATATTTTGCAGCTAAAACTGGTTTTGTTGTATTTTAGAATATTTATCTAGAAAATCTTGGTTTAGAAAATAATAATTACTATAAAAAACTGAAAAAGATAAAATAAATTTTGTTGATAGTTTTGGAAATTATTGGTTTATTACATTGGATTAGAAAGTTGAATTTGGAAAAAATCAAAGGCATACCAAACAAAATTAGGTCTCGTGTTTTTTTAAAATCAAAAATCTACAAAATCATTATTGAAACTGAACTAAAATGGAGATTAAACATAACTAAATTAAAAAAAATCATATATATTGGATAAGGTATGATTATGTATATAGAGATTTCTAATCAATCGTTAAAAATAAATAAAAATTTAAAAATGTGAATTTACCAGGATAAATTGCTTGAGATTGTAAGTAATGAATTGCTGATAAGCTTCGATAGTGAAAGTCTTTCTTCGTATCGGAATAGTGAAATAATTTATGACGAAATCGTTAGTTCCGGCACTTACACAAAACACAGCCTCTTCTATGTGTTTTTCCATTTTTTGTTTTCCCATTATACTCTCCAATTTTCTCTTGTATTCTCGGAAATGTTCCAGCTGAGTTGGAATGTCTATCACATTCTACTTCCCCACCAATGAAAGCAACAATACACATCATTAAATAAATTTATTCAAAAATCAGGCAAATCATATCTCAAATTATATATATCATTGTCATTCATTATTATAATTTATCAATAGTTCCAGTTATTTTATTCTAAAGACTAATCTATTTCTGTGATGAAGTATTTATGTTTGTAACCTAATATTAAATTATAGTTTTCAAAAAGTAATTTTATTATGTTTTGGGATTTTATTTTTGACTGTTTTTTATGTTTTGGGATTTTAAATCTTGATATTTGATTTTCTTTTTTGTGTGTTCCATATGAGAGAATTTGTTGTTTAGTATTATTAATCAAAAACTATATAATTGTTCTTTTGATAATGGCACAAATATATAATTCTTGGTTTGAAATTAATTATGGGACAATAAAAGTGTTGTAGTGCAATTAACTGTAACTTTGCTTGATTTAATACTTAAACTGGAAGATGTTATAGAAAAAAACACTGAAATTGAATTAGTTATTTAACTAACTTATTGAGATTGGCATAATTTCATCTTATTTTAAATAAACGCTTATGTGTAGCATATAGTTTTAAAATAAAATTAAAACGATTGACATAATTTTGTTTGCAAAATTAAAACGATTTAACAGTTAAATTGTACTCCCTCTGTGCTATTTTATATGATTTTCAAGGGGGTTTTTTGTTCCATTATATTTGATTTTCTCACATAAAATTTATTTTAAAGCATTTTGAGTTGACCAAGAATAGAATGTGGGCATTTGAATTTTACATTATTTTTTTACTGTTTTTAAATTTTTTTATTACATGGTGTTTTTATAAGAAAAAAATATCATTTTCTTAATATGTAACCTATAGCTAGAAAATCATTTAAAATGGAACAGAAGGAGTATATAGTTTTAGATTGGCTAGATAATTTATATATATATATATATATATATAAAGGGAAGATTGGCTAGATAGTTGATTAATACTCTAGTGGAAGCAATTACTAGTACCTTAATGGTTAGTAGTTAGTACTTTACTTCAAATTAAAATAACAATTCAAGCTCGCCTTGAGATAACAATTTGAAGTAACGGGGAACTCCTACTCGGGAGATGAAAAGGCTCAAATGTAACGGGGAAAAAACAAAAACATAAGGGCCAAATTAAAACTCGTTTTATGGTATTGCCAAAACTCCTTAACTATCTATTTGTCGGCAATGATTGATTTGGGATGGTGTTTTATTTTATTAGTTGAGAACCTTCCCGCGATTAAACATCAACTTACAGTAAAACATTTATAAATTAATACTCGATAAATTAATAATCAATATAAATTAATAATTTTTGCCAGTCCCAAATTGGGCTAATGTAAAAATTAGCAAATTTTGATAAGATAATAAGATAATAATTTTTTTAAAACTCCTATATAAAAATATAGTCCCAATAATTAGATAAATTAATAATTATACATATAAGTATATATAAATAATATAATATAATAAAATATAATTATATTATTGTTTCAAATTTATAAAAATTATTTGACTTATTTTTCAAATTCACTGATATGATATTTTCTGGTAAATTTTACATTGTTGAAAATATTTTTTTTTGTTTTTAGACAAAATATTTTGAATTTTAACTGAAATATCTCTCTATAAATTAATAAAATATTAATTTATCGATTAATTAATAACTCTATAAATTAATAAATTTTTGAAGTCCTAACATTATTAATTTATAGAGGTTTTACTGTATTGTCTTTTAGAAATGGGGTTTCAGTTTCCCTTTTTGTAAATATAATTTAATGAAATAAGGCCGACGATTAAATGATTGGTTTTATTCATATACGAATATTAAATATATATCCTCGAACATTTAAACATTGGGTTAGAAAAGTAGGAATGTAATGTAACTCCTTTTTAAAATCAAAGAAAGTTTTTTTTTTTAAAAGGGCCTCAAAATCAAAGAAAGTTGAAAAATAGTACCGCATGCATCGATTAATTTTCAAATATCAGGTCCTTAAACAATGCAACTTATTTTCCATCTAGGTTTGACCTTAAATCTAGGTTGGGAAGTCTCATTAGCACCAATATGGTTATAGTAACATAATGACCCAAATATAACTCTTGTTTTTTTCTTACGTATTATTTTTTTCTAAAATCAAAAAGAGAGAGAAGAGATTGGATTCTAACACCAAGGGTTGGGGTGAGAGGGTCAAATCCAGAACCAGCTGACGCAAAGCTAACTCCACTGATTAACTCATTTATTCCAAGATTTGGGTCCAAATATGCTGGCACGTTCTCCTTGACTCCGATGTATGACCCTATACATATAAATGAATGAGATAATTATTAGTTGAATCAACGGAGAGTGAGACGAACACGAGAGAGAAAGTGAGAAAGATTCTTGTTATTCAATTTGTGAAATCTTTGTTACAAAGGTCACGATTATATATTGGTTTAATATGTAGATAACCGGGCTGAGTTATTTGGTTTAACAATAGCCAAATCTGAATCTGATATTTTATCTAATAATAAGAGCATCTCTTAAGGGATTCTAAGAAAAATATTTTTTAAAAAAAGTAATAAAAAAAAGAAGAGAGAATGAGAAGGAGAAGAAATTGTTTTTTTTTTTTGCTTAATTACAAGTCTTGTTCTCCGAAAAAAACCGTTTGGATGACCCTTTTCCAGCTAAAGGTATGTTTTCTTTTCCATTTGTAGCTATGTAGATACATAACTTTAAGAAATTGGTAAGAACCCCAAAAGACACTAGTTCTCTATTGATTGGTTTTTATATTTTATTTAGATTTAAATTTAATTATAAATTTTAATTATATTAAAATAATATTTTTTTTTTTGTTTAAGATATTTGAGGGATTTTTATGGATGAAGATGGTCTAATAATCATAAAAATGTATTATAATAGAGATTGACAATATAATCAATATATATATATATCAATAAAAACATATATGAACACTAACTAACCAATGAAATCTGTCACGAGACGACCGTTGCAAAATCTACCGGTGGGGATGCTGTTTTTAAAATCGAGTCCATAAGGCGGGAAATTACACTTGAATATTGTTTTGATGTAGTTGTTATTTCCTGGATCCACCGTTGAATCTCCAAAAACGAAAATAGCCGAGACCGGTTGTTTTCTTTTAAGGTATGATCCGATTGGTTTAGGTTTTACCGGTTCGAATATTGGTGTAGAGAATGAGAAGGAGATGAAGGATAGGAAGAGAAAGAAGATGAAGGACAAAGAAAAAGAAGCAGAAGAATATGTGTGATGACTTCTCATGTTGTGAACAAATGAAAAGAAGAAGATGTGTAATGACTTCTAATGTAAGTTGCACATATACAGTATAATATAATACCCCATCGATATCGTATTAATACTAAATTCAAGTATGTGGATCCAAAACTAGTTCTGAGCCAAACCAATCACAAAATAACCTAACCAAAAATTATATGTTTCAAAAGGAAATAAAAATCAATAACCGAAATAGTATATTATATTATTTCGGAAGTGTTTTCTTTTATTGAACCGATAAATTTCACACACAAAAAACAAAGTTTAATTTGATGATAATACTAAAACGGAAACTTTAACCACGTACAAAAGAAAAGTACTAAAACGGAAACTATCTATTTGGATGAATAATCACGTGGACTGGTTAGTTAATGCAACAACTTGCATCTGGATTATTTAATATTTAGGTGAAGCTTTAAATATTGTAATGTTATATTAAATATTGTAAATTGTGGGTATTCATTCAAATTTATAGTACAATATATTAAATTTTGGTTTAAATATAATTTATTTCAGTTACAATACTATGTCTGGGGACGATATTATTACTGAAAAGTAATATAGCTGTGGATATATAATATCTATTTAATTTAATGATTGGAACAAAGATTATTCGATTTTCGATTGTTTAGGTAACAGATGCAATTGAAACTATGTGAGATGCAATCAATATAATACATTATTTATATAGTTGCAAAATTCTTTAATATTTTAAAACTTTTATCTTGATAAAATAATATATTTTATCATATTTAGTTTAACAATGCGATTCAACTAAATAATCAAATTAGACTTGGTAAAATGCAATATCGTTCAGGAAAAGATTCATATTTGGGATTACTAGAATGTTTCAGTTGTTTTAAGAGGAAACTTGTGAATTTCATCGAGGAGAAGATGCAATATCAGCTACATGGTGGTTTTGACAAAGCCTTTGTTTCTTTTGGTGGCAAAGAGATTTTGTTTAAGTCTATCGGTTTAATTAGCTCTTCAAGTCTACGATATGTCATGTTTCTGAGTGCTGTTCCTCATGCTCTCTAAAGACCTATGTGCCAAATTACGTGTGTCATGACAACATTTAAGTGTGGCAGTGATAATAACAAATGGAAGAGAAAGTGGCGAAAATGGTCCGTCCCAAGTCTTCCTGATACTTTTATTTGTGGGTCTTCCAATAGTGGAGTCTATAATTCTCAAAGTAGGTATAAATTGATTCACCTGATACAAGAGATGAATTCCCTTCCTTCACCTGGCTTATCTCTTATGGAAAACTCTCTTTTGGTCACGTTTGTGGAAGATTACACTATAATAAAAACACTTCCTATAGATTACACTAGCTGGAGTTTTGGCTGTGTGGAAGAGAAACTGTCTTCTAGAGACATTCATGTTGACCCCAAAGAGCATATGCCATATCCTCTTTGCCGTCGATACATTTTTCCTACCCACGAATATCATAAGGGGTGTCTTTTTTTGTTGACAAGATATTGCATCAATTTTCGAATTTCTTCATATTGTCGTTAAAAATATACAATAGACATGGTGGATGCAGTATACACAATTGTATCCGAAGCTACCATTGTAATTTGCAACATGATGAGGAAGAAGTTCATACAAAGTCAATCGTTAATAGAGAAATTGATTACTTAATCCATAGCTTGTGCTCTACGCAGTATAGACTCCAATGGTAACTTATATTTGAAGTGATTTACGTATGACCACCAAACGGTTCAAGCTACTTGTATTAATTACAAATGAATATATTATAGAAAATGAGGTATCATAGAAAGTACATATACGTGGACCTTAATGTTTAAATCATTCATATATATCAAAAAGCATTATCTGGATCATCATAAATTTGTATGAAAGTTAGCTGAGAAAACATATAGGAATAAATGATTTAACAAAGAAAAATGTCTAGGAATAAAAATATATATGTATATTTGGATATATCCCCAAATTTACAATTCCATAAAATACATCTGTGATGCAACGAAGAAAAAAAGATGTAAAATTAATAGCACACAAGATCTTGTTAAAACGTAAAGTTATGAGCACACGATTTCAGTACAGTCAAAAATCGTAATTTTTAAGTCGATCCTATCAATATCCAAAGTTGTTAATAATAGGCCCTATGTGATCAACTAACTGATCAAGTAAGACAAACATAAAATACTTGAATTAAAAAATAATGATTAAAGAAAGTAAGATAGAAGTTTCTTCTCCAACACTTCTTAATTCCACTCACAACCAACACCAAACGGCTACATCACTTTTGCTGACCACAAGATCTTGCACTTGAAGTAAAAGAAATACTCAATTTCTCATCAGTTTATATAAATTAGTTCATTAAATTTTTATTTTTTTAAAGGTGAAAGATTCACTTTTCGGTTTGATCTGGTTCGATTCGGTTGAATATCATTCTGATTCATTTTCTGCGAGTTGGATAAGAAAATCAGATAACAATAAAATAAAGACAAGTGATTAAGTGAAAAAAAGTTATAACACTTAACTATTTTAGAAATGTCTGTATTTTACAACGAATATAACTCCAAATTTTCAGCGAGAGTTTGATCGGTTTACATGGTTCATTCCATCTGAGGATATATAATACCAGTGACCACTGTATCTATAAAGTTCCTTGATTCGGCATTAGTTCGATCGGTTAATTTGGGATGTTTTGCTTCAAATGGCTTCCTTCCCTCACTAAGCAAATAATAATTAACAATAATAGTTGTAATCAGAATCACCCTCTTCACCAATAAACAAGTATAATCATCACAAAAAGCTTCTTAAGAACCCTCCACCACTCCTCTTCTCTCCTGGAGAATAAAAACCAAACACATACACAAAAATTCACAAACAGGAAGATAAAATAAAATGAGCACAGCAAGATTCATCAAGTGTGTGACTGTCGGAGATGGAGCAGTGGGGAAGACTTGTATGCTCATTTCATATACCAGCAATACTTTTCCTACGGTAGTTAATTTATATTGTTAAGTTTTACAAAATTTGTTTCCGTGGATACTTTCAAAATGATGTTTCAAGAGTTTTATGTTAGTCTCTTGAAGATTTTAGCTGACTTTTACGCAATTTCACGTTGTTTAGGTTTTATGATTTGTTTAGTACTGATACATATTCATAAAAAAAAAAAAAAAAATCTCGTATAGGGTGAATTTTCTTTTAACGTTCACATATCAGAAAAACAAAAAGATTAAATTTTAATGATTTATCGTATATTTTTAGTTAAAAATGTAAAGTGAACGTGATTACGTGAACTGCAAATATTTTCGTTTTATACCATTTTGGACCTAAATCTGAAATCAAAGCTAAAATACTGTATTTTTCGATCTGTTTACTTAGGAAATAAAATTCTCTTATTTATGTGTTGAGGATGGAATTACTAATTCCTTTGAAATGCAATATACAGGATTATGTTCCGACAGTTTTCGACAATTTCAGTGCAAATGTGGTGGTCGATGGAAGTACTGTCAACCTCGGCCTTTGGGATACTGCCGGTAAATAATTCTCTTTTTAGTTTTTACTAAAACTGATAAATTGATTATGTATATATATAGTGGCGGAGACAGATTTTTTTTTCTACTACAGCCAAAAACATATAAACAAAAAAATATAAAAAATAGTTTGTAAATTGCAAAAAATAAAAATAAAGAAAAAACAAAAAAAAATAAAGAAAAAAAAAACAACGCTAACAAAAAAGTTATAAAAAAACATAAGATTATCAAAAGAGAAAAATATTTTTTTTTAGAAAATTTGGGAAAGTATACCATAACTAGTTTACAATTATTTGATATCTATATTTATTAGTGTAAAGTGGCTTTAACATTATGAGCCCAAATAAAATTAATTACCCAATTTAATTAAGTTTTTGTTTCTAATGTTTTTAGTTTTCTTTTACAGGGATCAAACAAAAAAAAATTGTTGGGATCATAACATTTTTAATTAAACAAAAACATATATTTTTCAAAATTAGGTGGGGTCAGTTACGTTGGCCCCCTTCCTCTCTACTTACGTCCCTATATATATTATTTACTAACAGGGCTAATGTAAAATGATCAGGGCAGGAAGATTATAACAGGCTTAGGCCATTGAGTTACAGAGGAGCAGATGTGTTTTTATTGGCATTTTCCCTAATTAGCAAGGCGAGTTACGAGAATATTTACAAAAAGGTAACCTTTAAAACTTGCATCGTTTTTAAAAAAATGATAATGGTGAAACATTGTCTAAAAGAACTGTTGCCGAGATTAATTACATTAATTTCTTGATTAATAGTGGCTTCCGGAGCTGAAACATTATGCACCTAGCATCCCCATTGTGCTAGTTGGAACCAAATTAGGTAATAAGTTTGTTTCCCCTTCTATTGGTTTTCTAATAAAATTAATGTACATTTATTTTAAATCCGTCATATTGAATAAAGTTTTCTAACTTACTTGTTCCAATTTATATTATTCTGCATATTCTTTTTATTTTCTTTTAACACTTTCTTGTTTCTACAGTGTATGAACATATACTCTCTCTGTCCAATTTTAAAAGATGTTTTAGGACAAAAAATTACTCTATTTTATAAAATATTTTACAAGTTTTTTATGCAAAATATAATTTTATTTGATACTTTTGATTTTTCAAATTTGCAGTATTTTTTTTGTATGATTGATTGAATTATGTTTTTAACTATTTATTGAATAATAATTTTAAATAAAAATGATTTTTTAATATTTATGTTTTTATCTAAGACATCTTTTAAAATCAAATAGAACGAATATTGAAATCTGCTAGCACCAGAAAAAAAAAATATAGAAAAAACTATTTGGATCATTAGTGGTTTATAAGCAGTAGCAGGGGTGGACACGTGCCCTTGAGCAGTAGCCCAGTTTAGCTTTACTATTGATACATTTTGCCAATTTTTCTTGAAATAATATTACAAAAAAAAACATTATACAGATTTGAGGGATGACAAGCAGTTCTTGAAAGATCAACCAGGAGCATCTTCTATAACAACTGCTCAGGTACCGTTATAAGGAAACATATATATGATTTTTAAAATAGTAAAATAC